CTGGAGGTCTTCAGATGAGAGCTGGAAGGCTCTGACAAAAGTTCGGTCACTTTAGAGAGAGAAGCTGCTGCTGAGTGATGGGGGCAGAGGGAAAGTCTGCACGTGTCCACCCCTCCTCTTGGAGAGGGGGCTGGGGGACTGTGATCAAGGACCCTTAGGACAAAGCTAGGTTTCAGAGGTACCTGCAGGTAGAAGGAATGGGTGACCGAGACCGCTCTGGAATGGAGGGTTCCAGACGGCAGGGACCAGAAAGCCAAGGGTCCATTGGGGTCGGTAGTGAGTGGTGGAAGGTGAGGGCAGACCAGCCTGCCTCTGCTGTTAATCTCTCAAGAAACGAATGCACAAAAGTATCGAAATTGTTGTCAAGTGGAAAAGGGATTTGATTTTTCTTTCAAGCCAGAGGGCAGAACTATGACCAAGGGAAAATGTTAGAGAGGCCAAGGTCATTTTCACTATAAGGAAAAAGTGCTCAAGAAAGCGCTTTGTTCTGGACTTGGGGATCAGACGGCCCTCTTCAAATCCTGGTTCTGCCATTTATAACCTGTGGGAACCCTGGGCCTCAGTTTCCTCATCACTTCAAATGAGAGGATCTGACAAGATGACGTCTAAGTTTCCTTCCTCCCTTCTAGCTCTTCTAGTTGGCTAGGTAGGCCTGAAGCTTTTCTCTTTAATCTAGGTCCCTCTAACAGCAGAGATGGATGGTTTAAGGGAGCTGAGGATGAGATTGGAGATTGGGGGTGGGGGTGGGGGGAGGGACAGAAAGAAGGAAGAATTTAAAGACTGCTCAATATTCACTTCCAGAATAAAGTGATTTTCCCAAAGCACAGGTCTGATCATGTGATACACACACACACACACACACACACACACACACACACACATGCACACGCACACCCTACTCAATAAGCTCCAGTGGCTCGCTGTTGCCTGCAGAAGCAAATACAAAATGCTCTGTTTGGCATTCATAACCTTCATAACCTAGCCCCCCTCCTATCTTCCCAGTCTTTTTAAACCTTCCTCCCTGATAACTCTCTTCAATCCACTGCCTCCTATCTGTTCCATGAACAAGATGCTCCATCTCTTGGCTCTGGGAAATTTCTCCCCCATGCCTGGAATGCCCTCCCTCCTCATCTGTGCCTCCTAACTTCTCTGGCCTCCTTCAAGTTCCAGCTAAAATCCCACCTTCTACCAGAAATCTTTTCCTTTTAATTACGGTGCCTTCTCCCCTGTTAGATTGTAAACTCCTTGAGGACAGGAGCTATCTTGTGCTTCTTTTTGTATCTCCAGCACTTACCAGTGCCTGGCCCATAATAGGCACTTAATAAATGTTTACTAATTGGGGTTACCGACCAGATTATAAGGTCTGTGGATCTAGTCAAGCTCTCTAATTTTACAGATAATGACACTCAAGTCCAGAAAAGGGACGAACTTTGCCTGAGGTCATCAAATTAAAAGTGAAAGAGCCCAGAGTCAAACTCAAGGCCTCTGTCTTAAGACCAACAAGCATTTATTACTATAGAGAGGCCCATAGGGGATGTGGCTGAGCAAATGTGTGTGGGAGTAGGGTAGGGGGCTGGAGACAGGAGGACCCTTGTTCAAATCCTGCTTCAGAGACTTCCTAGCTATGTGACCCTGGACAAGTAAAAACAAACAAACAAAAAAAAAACCCTCTGTTTGCCTCAGTTTCCTCAACTGTAGCATGGGGATAGTAGCAGCCCCTATCTCCCAGGGTTGTTGTGAAGATCAAATAAACTGTTTGTAAAAAGCTCTTAGCACAGTTCCTGGCACATTGTATGAGGTTTATCAATCCTTATTCCTCCTGTCCCACTAGATATGCAAGGGGGAGTGCCCGTCGCTGGAGATGGAGACCAGTCTCCTATCTATCCTCCAGGAGCTGAGGCGGAGGTAACTGGAGGGCCAGCAGCCAGGGCACCCGACCTGTAGTCCTGAATATGTGAGTGCACCAACCTCTTCCTGCTTCAGTTTCCCCATCTAATACACGGAGAAAATCACACCTACCTCCCCAGGATGACTGAGGAGCAGAATCTTAAACCGCTCTACAAATATTAGCCATTGTGATTATTCGACTTGGGGATTATTCTACCCCATATACTCGTCAGTAAATCTGAGGTGATCTGAGGAGGAGAGAGAGCACTTGGAA